CGATACTAAATCCAGGAAAATATGGCTTGGCTGTTTCCCAGTGGCGACCTGAACGACGAGAGTCGGTGGCTGAAGGCGCTGCGCCATGTCGACCCCTACACCCGAAACCCTAAACCTCCACCTCGCCATGCCCGGCTTCTTGTGCCAGCCACAAATTAGGTAGTTACTGTGATAAGCCGCGGAGGACGACCCCACGGGCTGTCCGCAGGAAGAAACCATGTTCGAACGCATGGTCTTGAAGAAAATCTCGGGAGGCAGCTGCTAGTGAATCCTAGCTTTGAGAGACTCCCGTCGGGGCATCAACCAAACTGCACCCGTGCTCGGCAAGTCGCGTAAGAGACGAAGCCGCTGAGCCACTTCGGCGCCATCTTCAACTTCTTGCCCCGCTGCTTCTTTGCTGTTCCGGGTTTCAGTCTAGGCCCTAAGCAGCACCGGGACAAGGGCACCACCGGCAACCCAGCGCCACACCCTAAAACCGTAAACCCTCAATAGACCCACCCTGAAAAGAGACCTACGAGTCCTTCATGCTGCATAGGTTCACCTCAAAGCCCTAAAACCTTTTCGAGAACAGTGGAGCTCCAACGAGTCGCACCTTAGGTTTCGACCCGCACTCACACTTGCTCCGGTTCATGACCCCGCTCCCAACCAAAAACATCAGCAGGAGGACAGGAATGCTTCTCATGGAACTGAAAAGTTCCGCGTAAGCTATCATGGAACTAGCAAATGCAATGCAACTAGTGGTACTACATCATAAACATTCCGATTGCTATAGCCCCCAAAATACTTGGCACCATCGTCCCGAATGGGGTTCTACGATATACATATGTGCAAGAACTCCGGGCCCGTCGACAAATTTGCACCTCCATGGAAAAGTCCAGGTTTAGCTGATCCTATGCATCGTCCGAGGCCGGTGCTCATCGTCTGTGTAGAAAGCATCCAGGCCTTCTTCACGGATCACCTGGCCAGGCCCGGGTTTGAAGTTTAGTTCAAGGCAGGGGCCTTCATAGATTCGAGTGGGGCTTTGAGGGCCCACTGTACCATAGTTATGTTAGGGACTACAAGGGTGTATCAATACCAAGATCTCGGCCCCTAAGCAGTCTCTTGTTTGGTGCTTCTTGTGTTCAGGACATTTGATGCTTTCAATTCAAGCTTCTAACTTTGCTGGTCAGATTCCTAAAGTTTGCGGTATCCTACGATGCGCAAGAGCCTGGGGCGCTCAGACGACGGCATGGCTAATCACTGAGGCTCCGGTTCCGCAGTAGAACCTCAACAAACGGTACCCTTTGTCCTACTTCTCGGTTTCAACAAGGAGAGGCGAAATTAAACAAGGCAGGGCTCTACTGGGACACCTCGTTATCTTGGAGTGGTAGTGCAGGGGCCTTCATACTTAGAATGGGGTTTGGGGCTCCTTTCCAGTTTTGTTATAATAAGGAACCCCAGGGAATAACATTGGTAGTTATTTCCGCCCTAAAACCTAAACCCTAGACCGGAAGGTTTGGGTTCTCTGGGCGCAGTCAAGGTAGGCTCAGCACTCATGTATGGGTAGTTGTCAAAATCAAGGTCCCTTTTTTGATGCCCTAAATTATAGGTGCCGTATTATCACAGGGAAACAAGAAGGGACCATAAATTTGACAACTCATATAGCATACTTGTAGCAAGAATCCGAAGACCCAAGCAAAGAACCTCTAAACTTGAAAGCCGACCAGCCTTTTCATAGAATATATAGACATAATAAAAAATACTTTTCATCCAAGTGCCGGAGCGCCAATGTAAGTCCATTGCTTGAAGGATCCTACAGCCTGAATCCCTGAAACCCTAAACCCTGAACCCTAAAACCCCTAAACCCTTATAAAGTGTAGCAAACCTCGGCATCCTCAAACATCAGCGCCGCACACTTCTCAAGTCCCGAACTCCCAGGGACACGAAGACCTACCTCAGATCTAAACCCCACAAAACAGCAGGTGGTACTCTTTCCAAAACAAGGGGCATTATAACCCAAAACATAGTAGGGTCTTGAACACTAAACCCTAAACCCTAACCTCTGCATCCCATAAGCCGACGGCCTCCACTTTGTAGATTCTCTGATCCCCGTGGTCTTCAGTTGTCACCTGAGAGAAGGCGGTGGGGTCTGGGAGATTCTTCAAGCTGCCACAACCTTTAGGGTGTTATATATAGATATGTGTAGAAATATCTAGGGTTTGGAGTTTAGGATTTAGGGCTCAGGGTTACGGGGTTAGGGTCTAGTTTTTTTGTAAGTCGGATAGTAAGGATTCGCTTGGTTCTACTTCCTTTTTCTCGGCAAAGGTTTTCTACAAGGCCTTCAGAAAGCAGAGGAATTTTCGGCTAGCGTGTAGAAGTTTTTAGAACGGTGTACATGGGTTCCTGAACAAAGCCAGAAGGTGACCTGTACACAAACATCTCCAATCGTTATGCCGATTCGGCTTCCCCAGCATTGCCTCCCTACGTTGTGAAGCTACAGGCTGTATAATATAGGGGCCGAAAATAGTTAGAATAGGGTTTGGGATATAGGGGCCGAAAATAGTTAGAATAGGGTTTGGGGTATACTACTATAGGGGCCGAAAATAGTTAGAATAGGGTTTGGGGTATACTATACTATAATTTGGTAAGAAGCCCCCCAAAACCCTGTTTCAACAACTAAGGCCCTAGATTATCCAAACCCCAAATAGGAAGCCAGAACCCCCAATGCACAGGCCTCAGAATTGAAATCGGGTCTGGGCACATGGGTGGTTGTCAAAATTATGGCCCCTTTTTGGGTACCCTAAATATTAGGTGCCGTAGTATATTAAGGACCCAACAAGGGACCCTAATATTGACAACCACCCGTATGCTTACGGAAATGGTTCTGTTGGAACTTCAGACGGACGGTTATTCGGAAGTACCCTAAGGCCCCAAAGTAGTTCCTTTTTGGGGTTCATATATAGAATCCTATACAGTAATCCCAAAAGGAACTACTTTGGGGCCTTAGGGTATGTCCGAACACCCTCAACTTTAAACCCTCAACCTCTGAATTCCGAGGCTTTAGCCTCGACCTCCAAGGGGGCCCAAGACCCCCAAATTCTAAATCCCTGATGAAGGTCGAAGCAAATACATATGGGAGTTTCCGAAAGTTAGGGGATCCTATTTGGGGGTCCTTAGAATAAGGATTCTACTATTCAGGGTGCTAGATTAGGGTCCCCTATTTTCGGAAACTCCCATAAAGTGAAGGCGTACTTCGGTGTAACTACACAGGATCTGTAAACCAAGTTTCCGATAGCCCTGTACCCCGAACGACTTCAATCTCTTCAAACTGCAAACCCAAACTCCACGGCTAGCAGTACTAAAAACAAAATGCTGAAAACCCCTGAGGCACCGTCTGAACCTAAACTCTGCATGCCAAACCTCGACCCCTAAGTCACCCATGAATAAAACCTACACCCCCTAAATCCTCTAAACCTTGCCAGAGCTTAGGGATCAAATCTCCAACAGAAATCCAGCGCCGCCTTTAGCTCTGCCTGCGCAAAATCCTGGGAGCTTGGACCAGCCTGGCGTCAGGTCGTCGCGCTTCATGGGAGTTTCCGAAAGTTAGGGGATCCTTCAAAGGTTCCTTAAAGGGATGTATAAGGGTTCTATAAGGAGTTTAGGGTTTAGAGTTTCCGAAAGTAAGGGGTACCTTGTTTGGGGGTCCTCATAATAAGGATCCTACTATTTAGGGTACCTTATTAGGGTCCCCTTTTTTCGGAAACTCCCTCTGTCTATAGGGGTGTAGGGTTTAGGGTTGATATAGCTTCGGGCTTTGGGTTTAGGGTGAAGGGCTTATGGCTTATAGGGCTTGGGGTTTAGGGTTTACAGCTTTGGGCTTAGGGCCGAGGGCTTGGGCTAAGGGTGAAAGCTCACCCGAGAGGGGTCCAAACATTAAAGCCCTTCAGGAAAGAATGTTGTTGAATCAGGCGTCCACGTGACTTCTGAGTCAGCTGTTTGCATGTGTGTGCATTTCTGGTTGTTAAACTGGGCGGTGGTCTTCGGGGAGGAGGTGCGTGGGAAGGTCCAGACGAAGCACTCTGGCCACACAGTAGATACTAGATACACATGCACAGAAATCGACATGATGCTTGGTAGTCGCTGCAAGCAAGACTTCCGCCTGCAGCTTGCAGTATCACGTAATTTAACCTGCGCGCTGACAAAACCCTACAGCTCGTGGCTGTCCAGCAAACACTCTTAGCCTTAAGCCCTAAACCCTGCACTGACCCAGTGGCTCGTCTATCCTGGGTCCTACAAGAGTTTTAGGGTTAGGGCTAGGGTCAGTATCGCTGTTGCTGCCACGACATATGCTATCTTGCGGTCACGATACTAGGGCCCAAAAATGCACATAAGCAACAATTGGATAAACCCCTTATGATGAAGCCCAGTAAGGTAGGGATATCCTTATAAATTGCTTATGGTGATGTCCTTTTTGAGTCCCTGAAATATTTCGACGGAGAAAAACTCTGTCTAGTTTGCTGACTACTGTTCTTCTCACCACTGTCTATGCAACTGTGAAGAACATGCTGCTCTATACCCTAAGCCCTAAACCAAAGGTGGGCTCGTCTTTTTCTTTTGAGTTCTAGATGCAAAGGTCAGGGATTCTGGTCCAAGGCCTCGGAAAGTGAGGGTTCAGGGCTTCGGCAGCCGTGGAACTACGGCTCGGACACGACCCGGCCAGAAGTCCCAAGCTCAATCTTAACCACCCTAGTATCATACACAAAGGCCATGCCACCGCAGCGCCGCTGTTCGTGAATAGTGGAAGGTACAAGTGAACAACACAAGTTGAACATTGAAAATGAAAACCTGTGCTGCCTCGCCACAGAGTGACGGCACGTCTGCACTCATATAACGGATGAACTAGTTTTCAGCCTTACCCCTACATCTATCTCTATCTTTGCACTTATATATCGCTTTTCGCTTTTCGCTTTTCGGGGCGTTGGGTCCTGGTTTGGACGCAGCCGACTTCGGTTGCACCTAATTTAAAAGTGAAACAACACACATGCCTCTGGCTCAAAATTCGCAAGGACTTCTGCACAATGCACTTGTGTCCTGTGCGGGGCAAGCTTGCGAATGACCTCAACTGTAGGACAGGAGATCCGAGGGAGAACTATGCACGCAGGCACAGCCTTCGTCCAGAGGTGAAACAGGCCCCTGATAAGGTCGGAGAGCACTCGAAGTCTATCAAGGGGGCCGGAAAGATGCTTGAATGAAGATATCGGATGTGGGTGCGAGAAGGAAACATCCAGCCCGAGGCCGGAGAGGAAGACAAGGCCAGCGGTACTTGGGAGGCAGCCCCATGCAGCAAAGTCAAGGAGTTGCACAACTTCACAGTCAGTGGGTCGGAACCACACAGGAGGGTTGCTGGAATATGCAAAACACTTGGATACAGTGCTGGGCGCCGGGAGAGTTTGAATGTGGACTCCCTCAAGCTCAAGCCATGGGGTAAGGATTTCAGCATCCCGAAAGGTGGAAGCAAGGAGCTCTGGGGTTCCAGCTCCATCCCCAAGCCATTCAATGAAGTCAACTTCAAGTAGAAGGCGTGCCAACCGCTGGTGCCAAGCTGTCCACTGAACATCCCAATCCTCATCCTGTTCAAGAGTGCACAGGAGTTGTGTGTACCACTGCTTCGCTGTGGCTTGGAGTCTGGACACTTGCAGGCATTGGCTTTGGAAGTGGCTCCTGACACAGTCAACCAAGGCAGTCCAAGACTCAAGACGTTTAGCATCATGGCAGAAACATTCTTCAAGAGCTTGGAGAAGGGCTGCAGACGGTTGCTGCGGTTCATCGACAACAGGAGTAAAGTCCCATCGTGCACTAGGGCCTTGGGCCCTCACGGCTGGCAACAAGACCTGTGCACCTGTGTCGAAGCGGCGGCTGCCGGTGCCGGGTTCGACAGCACACTGAAATCCGGCATTCAGTAACGCATGCCGGCTGTGGCCGCTGTATGTCAAGTGATTGCACAGCCCTTTGTTGGCCTTGAACTGTGCAAGGCAAACAGCACACTGGGACCCTGCCGCAAGAACACTTATATATATATATATATACATACATGCATACATATGTATGTATGTATATATATATATATATATATATATATATACAGACATGCATACGCAGAGTGCTTCGCTATATCGAGCTTCCTAAACCTGACACCAAAAACATCCTTACTCTCAAACTGCTATGCCCTTAACGCGATAACACTAGAAGCTTGGTTAAGCTTCGTAGCACTACCCCGAAACCGTTTCGTGAATCCGTCTGCGTCACGGGAATGGGAAGGAAGCGCCGAATTCCTATATCTTAACAGCCTACTTCCCAAAATCTGAAGCACTGAAACCCTGAGCCCTGCAACCTGGACGCCCAAACCCTAAATTTCCTGCTGCGGCGGCCTCTCTCGCCAGTATCGCCAGCTCGCCAAGATGCACGTAGGCCTTGCACGGTTTAGAGTTTAGGGTTTAGGGTTTGGGGGTTTAGGGTTTTGGGGTTTAGGGTTTAGGGCCGCATGGGGCGTGACTTCTTATTCTATCAAGGACTCTTCCATGAGTGCTTGCTACAGGGTTCCATATTGAGCATTGCACTTCTTTGGGGCCTTATGGCGATTTTGAAGAGCTCTCAAACCCGAAGACCTCATTATAAGAAGCCCCAAACTTGTGATGTAAGACTGGTGTTCATGAATAGGGCGGCAATCAAAATAATCCACGGGCCAGGATCTCCGGGTGCAAGAGGAGGCTTGAATTGTGTTAGGGTTTCCATGCCAAACAATTTATCTGGTAGTACGACCCCCAATAAGTACCTGTACTATCTTGGCGGGTTCCTTATACTGTAATTGTAGTATAATTCAGTAAAATGGGCCCCAATACCCTATTCAAGGCCCTATTCTAATCAGAGGTTGTGCGAGGTCCCCCTCCCGCCCGAACCCGCTCATGGGAGTGCCTCTTCAGGCAGTGAAGGGGCCTTACTGATTGGAGGAGGGTTTGTCATGTATCATGGAGTGACCCGCACTGGGGTAAGCCCTATAATACCTATAAACCGCAGTAATCCCAAGGCTGTATTTACACAATGGCCATATGCTCCTAGTCACCACTATAGTTTCTGTAAAGCCTACTGTCTCCTTAGTGTGTAGCGGCCGTAGGACTAATTAAACAGACACTCCTAGCATTTCCTAACATAACTATACTACAACATACCCCAAAACCCCATTCCTTGTATGCAGGCCCCTTTCAACAACTTGCAAAAACCGGTGGACAACCCTTTCGGAAGCTCTGACGAGAAGCCACGCCGACCTCACGCTATTTCGGCATGCTTTCAACCCTGAACGTTTGCGAGAAGCCATGCAAGCACTCGATACAGACAAGTACTCAGCCTCCAAGTACCGATCATCATACCCTAAACCCTAAACCCCTAAACCCTAAACCCCAAACTCCTAAACCCTAAACCCCTAAACCCTAAACCCCTCAACCCTGAACCCCAAAACCCTAAACCCTTAAGCCAGAAAGACGAACCCTGCCAGTCCTGGCAGGGCTGCTCCTGTCTTGCGTCCAACTACTCAAACTTTTTTGCCCCTGCAATCTAATCTAGGGGCCTTAATAATTGGAAGAAGGTTTTGGGGGAGATTATACTATATATATATATATATATATATTTGTTCGGAACCCCCTCCAAAAAATGGTATTGGTAACCATTTAGGCACCGATATTATAGAACCCTACTATAGATCCCTATAGGCCCCTTTAAGGAACCCTCTAAAGGAACCCTATTCTAGTTAGTTAGGCCCCGATATTCCACACAGCAACGCAATGATAAATCCGGCCTTAACTGGTCCGCTAACTGCGAAGTTCGGTAGCAAGTAGGCGTCGGCGGCCTGCATGAAGTTTAGGGCTTAGGGATCTACTGGTTGAGGGCGTAGGGGTCTACAGGGTTTGTTTTTGTAAGAGAACCAAGACCCTCCCTGCACCCTTCAACAAGGGCAAGTATACCCCAATCGCAGGAATTCAGGGTCGAAAAGAAGTTCGATGGAGGGTCTAAGAAGCCCTGAACCCGAAATCCCAAAACCCTAAACCCCTAAACCCTGCATCCCTAAACCCTAAACCGCTAAACCCTATAGCCCCTCAACCCTAATCCCTAAACCCCTAAATCCCTAGGACTCTAAGATTAATTTTGGCTTCTGACGTGAGGCACCTCTTCTCGGAAAGATTCCCTTAGGCCGAAGACCTCCTCTTCTATTTAGCAACCTCCTGACCGAAACTTCCGGTTTAGGGTTTGGGGATTTAGGGTTTTCAAAACTGAAGACCTTAGGCCTTAGGATTACGATCTAAATCCTAAGCCTTAAGCCCTAAGCCCAAGGCTCTGCATTCGCCGAGGCCTTAGGAACCTCAAACAGTCCCCGGCCCCTTTAAGCCCTAACGTAATTATGTGTTGCAGTCCTCTGAATTAGGGCGCATTTTGGGTCCTCTTTGTCAGGGTGCCATACTATGTTTGGGACCTAGAAATGGAACCAATTTAGAGAACCATCCATATGGGTTGTTTCCGCAGGCCCTACACTGTGACATGTCCCAACTTCCTAACCCTCTCGATCCTAGAGCCGGACGAAACCCCATAGCGCACCGATAACGCCCTAAACCCTACTTGGAGGGTCGGGGGACTTAGTAACTGGTTATTTTAGAGACTTATAAGTACCATAACCCCAATTAGGGTCCCTTTTAGGGTACTTATAATTACAAGTCTACTTGCTAACTACTTACTAAGTCCCCCGACCCTCCAAGTATAAACCCTAAACCCATGATCCCAAATTTATCCTAAACCCACTCCTGAACCCCAAAATCCGAAACCCCAAACCCAGAATCCTAAACCCCGAAACCCCTAAACCCAAAATCCTAAACCCCACACCCCAAACCCACAATCCTGAATCCTCAACCCCAAAACCCACAATCCTGAACCCTAAACCCCAAAACCCACAATCCTGAACCCTAAACCCCAAAACCCACAATCCTGAACCCTAAACCCCAAAACCCACAATCCTGAACCCTAAACCCCAAAACCCACAATCCTGAACCCTAAACCCCAAAACCCACAATCCTGAACCCTAAACCCCAAAACCCAAGGTCTAAACTCCTGTACCAAAACCCCTAAACCCAGCATCCTAGAGCCTGAACCCTTAAACCCCAAACCCCAAAAGCCCCAAACAGCGTAGGGTGAGGGGGACTGAATCCCTATAGTAGCCCCAATCATACTACTCCCCAATATCCACTTCCTGAAACCCTAAACCCTAAATCCCCAAACCCCTAAATCCCTAAGCCCCTATATTAAACCCTAAATCCCTCAACCCTAAACCACTAGATCCCTAACCCACCAAATCCCCAAACCCCTAAAACCCTAAATCCCTTAAAAACCCTAAACCCCTAAATCCCCTAAAACCCCTAAACCCCCTAAGGGAATAAAAAAAAAAAAAGGGCGCGGCGCCTGAACCATCTCCTGCACGCGCACGAGGGCCTTGAGAGCCTCCAGGACCCCAACCGCCGGGTTGGCCTGGGACAGGTCAGCGGGTCCAACGGTTGATGAGAAAATTCCTGCATGACCCATGATAAGGAATATACATAGTTTAGGGTCCTTAAGGTAATGCAGGGTTTATATCATCAACCGAAGTGGTCTTGTGGGTTTCGGGGGCTTTGGGGGTTTGGGTTTAGGGTTTAGGGTTTTGGGGTTTCGGGTTTAGGGTTTAGGGTTTAGGGTTTAGGGTTTTGGGTACAGGTCAGTGGGTCCAAGTACCCAAATAGTACCTTAAACTACGAAACCCTACTTTTTTGTAGGTTCTTATTATAAACCCTAATATGGGATTTGTAGGGACCCTACAAAAAAGTAGGTTTTGGTAGGGTAGGGTTCTAGGTCCCAAAATCCATACTCTACTATTTGGGTACTTGGACCCTCTGGACAGGTCTTGTGGGGTTTCGGGGCTTTTGGGATTTAGGGGTTTGGGGTTTAGGAGTGTGGGGTTTCGGGGGGTTGGGGATTCAGAAGTTTTGGGGGGTTTTGGGATTAGGTTCTTTTTTTTTTGAAGGCCTTTTGCTCACTATGAGCTTTCTTGCATTCATGGATTGCAGCAAGTACGTGGACATCGTCCAGACTCGCGAACTGATGCTTGCCAGCACTGCGTCTTCAGAGAGAACGCAGGCCTTGTCGATTTGGAGCAGAAATTCACATTGTTCTTCCTCACTCGTATCAGCGAGGGTTGCGTACCTCAGCAGTTCCGAGACGGCCACATGGTCCATCGCCGATGAGGCTTCCTTCAATACTGCGTCTCTGCTGAGAATTGTCGAAAAGTTGGTCTTCTTGCCCACTGCGCTGTCTTCTGCTATGCGAGGCAGATGTGACAATCCCACGGAGAAAGCCGCCCTTGCCCTTCTTGACATAGGGTTGGCCCTCAAAATTGAGGACGCCAAACCAATCGAATCGGTCTTGCCGCTGCTCGCACTTGCGGGCGAGCTCTCAGCGACGTCGCTACTCAGACTCGCCTCATCTGCTGAGGGGTCACTCATTGTGGGATTAGGGGTTTAGGGCTTAGGGGTGTGGGGGTTTTGGGGGGTTGTGGGTTTCGGGGGGTTGGGGATTTAGGGGTTTTGGGGGGTTGTGGGGTTTTGGGGATTAGGGATTTAGGGTTTAGGGGTTTTGGGGATTAGGGATTTAGGGTTTAGGGGTTTTCGGGTTTAGGGGGTTTAGGGTTTAGGGTTTTGGGGTTTTGGGTTTTGGGGGTTTAGGGTTTTGGTGGTTTCGGGGCTTTGGGGGATTATGGGTTTTGGGGATTAGGGGTTTAGGGTTTGGGGGTTTAGGGGTTTTGGGTTCAGGGTTTGGGGTTCAGTTAGGTTTAGGGGTTTGTGTCTTCTAAAGCTTGAAGCAAGGCTTTCGATCTTTAAACTTATGGTGGGTTTGTCCCTGGACCCCAAAAGTATGTAGAATAATGGCCCATTTTATGTTTGGGGCCATTGTTTTACCGACTTTGGGGGGGGGTTTAGGTAAGGGTTTGAGATGTGCCATCGAGATTTTAGGTTTTGGGGTTTAAGCCCCCTCCAATGACAAGGACTTTTGTGATCCTGACATGAAAGCGTTCAAAGATGGCAGCGCGGGGCTTGGCGTTCTGCTAGGCGAGGGTGGTCGAAGGTCTCAATTAGAAGATTGAGTGGCTACAGCAATTAGGGTAGTTTGCAGGTTTTCTGGGCGATGGATCTAGCAACTCATGGCGTACCGTTCTGCAGTTATCAAGTATTCAGAACCCCGACGTCAGGAATGGGGTTCGAGATCCGTAGAATGGCTGCGCAGATCAAAAAGAGAAAGAGAGAGAGAGAGAGAGAGAGAGAGAGAGAGACACAGAGCAACAGTACCGGAGAGCGAGAGGGAGCGAGAGAGAGGTCAAGCAGTGCACCAAAGCCCTCTAACCGCCCACAGATCCTAGATCGCTAAACCCGAAACCCTGCAAAGCCACGCACAACGCGCCTGGGCATTCTGAAACAGCTCCGGCGCTTCGCGCAGAACGTATCCTTCGCAGCAGTTTTCATTGTGCCTAGTCTATACGGTCAAGAGCCAGCCTCTACCCTAAAACCCTAAACTCTAAGCATCCACAAACTCTGATAGCTCTGAAAATTTGGTTGCAGGGAGTACAGGGAACTCCAGAAAGTTGGAATATGGTTTCATGGTAGGATACCCTAAAATTTACCAAAGAAGGGTTTAGGATAATCATATTCCACATTTCTGGCTTTTACCTTATGGCTTGGCTGTTTCCCAGTGGCGACCTGAACGAAGAGAGTAAGGGTTTAGGATAATCATATTCCAACTTTCTGGCCTTTTACCTTAAGGGTACTGTTATGGGGGATACCTCCCTAAATCATAATAGTAATTCCTAATATGGAAACCCTACATTCTACTATATAGGTACTTTGGACCCTTGGGTAAGGGTTCGGGGGGACTTAGTAAGTAGGTAGTAAGTAGACTTATAAGTACCCCAAAAGGGACCCTAATTGGGGTTATGGTAATTACTTATAAGTCCCTAAAGTAACCAGTTACTAAGTCCCCCGACCCTCCAAGTAGACTCCTAAACCCTAAACCCTAAACCCTAAACCCTAAATCCTAAACCCTAAAACCCTAAATCCTAAACCCTAAACCCTAAATCCTAAACCCTAAAACCCTCCATTGTAAGGGTTCAGGCTTGGAGGCCTCAACATGAGCTTCGGGTTTCGCTTCAGGGGCGCTCGAGACGAAGGCTTCAAGCACCATGCTTTGACCTCCAAGTAGGGGTTTCCGAAAATAGGGGGTATCTTTAAGGGGATTCTTTAAGGGTTCCTTAAAAGGATCTATAAAGGGTTCTAAACCGGGTTTAGGGTTTGGGGTTTCCGAAAATAGGGGGTACCTTATTCTGGGGTCCTTACAATAAGGATCCTACTATTTAGGGTACTATATTAGGGTCCCCTATCTTCGGAAACTCCCAAGTAGCAAAACAGGAACGGCTTTGAGGCCAAAGCACATACTTCTGGGCACATGGACTCTTAGAATTAGGATTTGGGACGTTTGGGATTTCGGCGAGAGAGATAAGGCCCAACGGAGCACATCATGGACGGCGTCTCCAAAAATGACAAGGAAACTAAACTCTGTGGGGGAGACTATGCATTGCAAAAGGAGGCTATACTATGTGAAGGAGACTACATTATGCAGGGTTCCACGTTAGTTTCACCCAGGGTAACTATTGAGATAAGCTAGCGTAGCGCTGTGCTTGGACTACATTGACATTGCCTTGTCCGTAGCGGTCTCGACAGCTGGGTTAAGGCTTAGCCAAAGGCTTTCAGGCTTTGACAGCTCATGAATAGTTGACAATAGTTGACCATTGACAACGGCTGTTGATGTTAATGCGAACATTTGCTTTGTCGAAAACACTAGCTGACTCATTGCAGCAACACGACGCGTCCAGGAGGAGGTTTCAGAAGCCTTTCAATGGAAGAGGCAGTCATTCATAGCCATTCAGCCTACCAAAACCCCGTTAGCCCTGAGCTCCGACTCCTGAGCCTCAAACCCTGAACCCCTCCTAGTTGCTGAGTTCATAAGCCCCCAAAGGTGTACACGTTCAGTTTTATGAAGTGGATAGATTTTACACTTTTTGGGAAAATATTACCTACCATTATGGTAGGTAATATTATCCCAAAAACTGTAAAATCTATCCACTCAGCTACTAAGCCCCAAGCCTGGAGCTCCAAACCCAAAACCTTAAACCCTTGACCCTTTGAGCCCCTAAACCTCTTAGGGTTCCGTATCCTGATGGTAATACCATGGCCCCACAACCCTATTCAAATTACGAATGTAGAGGTCTTAATAATTGGAATAGGGTCTTAGGGTATATTTTCGCAAGAAATACAAGAAAGAACCCCAACTAGTATTCGTAATTATTCAGGCCCCTATACATTACTTGGAGGGTCATGGGACTTAGTAAGTAAGGTTATAAGTACCTTAACTGGGGTTATAGGTATAGTTACCCTAATTATAACCCTAGTTACTAAGTCCCATGATCCTTTAAGTAGGGTAACCCCTAGAGCCATCATTCAGCCGACCTGGTCTCTCTTTGATACCATCGGCAGTCAGCCACCTGAGAGACCCACCGGCTCTTCAGGGCTTGTAGAGTATGAGGCTTAGGGTTTATATGCTTTAGGGGCCGAATGATTACCTATACCATTTTGGGGGGGGTTCCTCATGATAATGCTAGTATAGTGGGCCCCAAAACCCTAGTCTAATGATGAAGGCCACTATATTATAGCGAGTGTGGTTTATGAACTTAAGATTAAGGGCTGAGGGTCCAGGGCTTTGGGGGTAAGGCTTAGGGTTTGGTGGATGTTGTCTGCAGCCCCCTTGCTATCTTTTCAGTGAAACACTCCTGGGACCCCGCTAAGTGTGAAGAATCGAGAAGGCTTGCCTTCTTAGTAATAGCTTTGCGGAAATATTCTGGTAAGAACTATAACCAACAACACGGTTCAAGGGACTAGTCAGTGTTGAAAAGATCAAGAGGTTTCGGCATTTGGCTTCTGGACTTTGGGGTGTGGGATTCTGGGCTCAGGGCCCGAATGTATGATTTCGGCTCCACAGAGACCACTTGCAGGATCATGGGACTTAGTAGGCAAAGGTTAAAAACCAGCTCAACACCTACAAGAGGTTACACATAAATTGAAGTATATACTTATAGTTGCTTGAATTACAACTATAGGGGCCACTGAGTCCGAAGATCCCCCTTGAGTCGCGTCGTAAAGGTACATATAACTATAGTTTTAACTATATGTTATATATAATTAGAGCTATAGTTATAAGTACTAAGGAACCACAGAAATAGTATTGCTAAGTATTTAGGCCCCTATAGTTGGGTTGGAGGAAGATGTCGCCTTGGTAGCCATCGCCGCTGCAGGGCTTTCCACCAGACAAGTCTAGTTTTGTTTTAGTCAGTTTAGGTTTAGGGTTTCGGGTTTAGGGTTTAAGGTTTAGGGTCTAGGCTTGTCGGGTTTAGGCCTTCATCGCCCGGTAGCGCTCAGCAGCCTAGATAACGCTTGCTCGTCGCCCCCCCCCCCTCCCACACAAGCCGTCATTGGGCTTTGCTCTTTGTGGGTCGAAGGTTATATGAGCTTCGAGGTTTAAGGCCAAGGACAAGGACAAGCATCGAAACCTTGTCTAGGAGTACCCGTCAACCCGATCCCCCCCTGAACCTCAAACCCTGCAACCCCAAACTCTCAAATTAAAGACTTAACATAAGCCCGAAACCCGTGCACACTAATTTCTAAGCCCTGAGCCCTATAAAGCTCTTAATCACCCCCAAAACCCTAGAGAACCTATGTATGTAGAACGAAAAGCCTTTGACCACTAAGCCCGTAAACCCTAAACGCCGGACCCCAAACCCTGGACCCTACTAAGATGCAGGCCTCGTTAAAGCCACCCTCTCCGAGTGCTTGAGCTCGTCGAAGGCGTCGCAGACAGCCTCTCCACCTCATTTCGGAGCATCTAGCGCTAACGTTTGCAAGCAAGGTATGCGCAGACAAGGGAGTGTGTACATGTACCCACTTACATATATATATATATATATACATATATATGTGTACATATACATATTCGGAACATGCGATGTCATGTCCTCGTCTTAAAGTGGTAACTGCTCGCTCTAAGCGGGCTTAAGGTCAGGACAGTCACAGATCTGCTGTGCTACTCTCTTCAACCCTGAAACGCTCAACCCGAACCCCACACCCCCTACCATAGGGGCCTATTCAACTGTTGAACCGGGCATGCGCGCCGTATAATGATGATTTTGCAGGCTCCCAGGGTGGCAGTTTTGACGAGTTTGAGGCCTCGGGTTCGGAGTTCATGCTTTGGGGGGGCGTGCAAGTACAAGGGCTTACCTTACCTATCCCGATATCCTGAGAAACCTACCTTCTTAGATCTTTTATAAGGAAATCATACAGGAACCCTCCTGCAAAGGTAGGTACTTCAGAGTCAAGGTAGGGTTTTAAGGGCTCACTGACTGAACTCAGGGTTCTGGGAGGTTTATCATGGCCCCACCAAGCCGGACCAATAAGGTCTTCGTTGGTGCCTCTTCCGGGGAATGGCGGGGTCAAAAAACCTTGACCCTTAAACCCTAAACCCATACATAGCCCCGAATCGTGAGCGGGGGGTGATGGTGGCACACCCAGAGGGTCCAAGTACCCAAATAGTAGGGTTTCAAGGTCCAAAAACCATTCAGAGTATGGATTTTGGGACCTAGAACCCTACTATTTGGGCTACTTGGACCCTCTGGGACAGGTCTCAACTATCGGGCTTGGGGCGTGGGGAGTTGAACAGGGACGGGGGTTTCAGCGGTGAAGTTTCAGGGGGTTCAGGGGTGTAGGGGTTCAGGGGTTCAGGGGTATAGGGGTTCAGGGGTTTAGGGGTTGAGGGGTTCAGGGGTTTAGGGGTCCTGGTTTAGGGTTTAGGGGTTTAGGATTTTAGGGTTTCTGAAGTAGTCCCCGACCCTCAATGTAAACCCGAAACCCTGACCTTATGAGAAGGATAGCCCTAAACCCTAAACCCTCAAACCTAAAGAACAGTCTCCAGGAGCTCACTCCTCTAACACCGTAAGACTTAAACACAGAAACTACACCCTCAAGCGGTTCAGGGTGTAGGGCCTATTTAATTTGGGGTCAACCAACCTAAAACCATACACCCCCAATCACTAACTCCTCAAGATTTGGTGTTTCGGGCTTTGAGTTTAGGCAATGATTTACAGATAGCCTGCTGTTGTCACCGACTCCTGCGCATGAGAACATAGTGAAAGACAAATGAGACTTAGAGACCGGAGGTACGATCCGACTTTCAGAACGGAGCAAGACTCGTGGAGCGGTTGAGAATCAGGAACTGCATAGACTGTGCGATGGCACATGCACATCAATAGAACCGATACCTTTAACAACTCATATAAACCATGGAGGTCAGGGGTTGCTCTTCCTGGGAAACGGTTGCAGTGATTTTTATACAGCAGCTGCTGTCGCCACAATCGCCAGCATTACCCGGCGCAAAGGCCTCATGAGCAGCATGGACGTGCCACGCATCTCGCAGCTGACCTTGCGCTGCACTATTGTCGCCTCCACAGTCGGCATTACCCCAGCTGACCACAGATCCATCACCCAGGATTGCAGAAAATGCGCGAGAAGAAGCTCGGATCTGCTGCACATTCTTCAGCTGCTCCTGTGCGACACTACTGTCGCCACCATGGTCGGCAGCACCCCAGGTGACCACAGATCCATCACCCAGGAGTGCAGCAAAGGCACCACTAGAAGCTTGGATCTGCTGCACATTCTTCAGCTGCGCTTGCACGGCACTGCTGTCGCCACCAAGATGGGAATCACCCCAGGTGACCACAGACACATCACCCAGGATTGCAGCAAATGCGCCACCCGAAGCTTGGATCTGCTGCACATTCTTCAGCTGCTCCTGCACGGCACTGCTGTCTCCACCCCAGTCAGCATTCCCCCAAGTGACCACAGATCCATCAACCAAGATTGCAGCGAATGCGTACAACGCAGCTTGGATCTGCTGCACATCTCGCAGCTGGTCATGTACCGCGCTGCTGTCGCCACCAACATGGACGTTGCCCCAGGTGACCACAGATCCATCACCCAGGATTGCAGCAAAGGCACCATTAGAAGCTTGAATCTGCTGCACATTCTTCAGCTGCTCCTGGACGGAACTGCTGTCGCCACCAAAGCTACCAACACCCCAGCTGACCACAGATCCATCGCCCAGGATTGCAGCAAATGAGCTACCCGAAGCTTGGATCTGCTTCACATTCTTCAGCTGCTCCTGGACGGCACTGCTGTCGCCACCACAATCGGGAGTGCCCCAGGTGACCACAGATCCATCACTTAGGATTGCAGCAAAGGCACGATTAGAAGCTTGGATCTGCTGCACATTCTTGAGCTGCTCCTGGACGGCACTGCTGTCGCCACCCGCGTCGGTATACCCCCAGGTGACGACAGATCCATCACCCAGGATTGCAGCAAATGCGCCAACAGAAGCTTGGATCTGCTTCACATTCCTCAGCTGCGCCTGGACTGCACGACTGTCGCCGCCCCAGGCGGAGTGACCCCAAGTGACCACAGATCCATCACCCAGGAGTGCGGCGAATGCAGCGAACAGACCACCTCGCCTGGTGGCTCGAAGTTGCACTTGATTCACATGCAGGGTGAGCACGTCTCCGCTCATCAACTTTGCTTCTGTGATAGTTTTTGCGCCGTCCAGCACCTCGCCAGAAGACTTCCGCAGCTGCCCTCTACTCGGGACCAGCAGAGTGTTTTGGGCACGGCACTTCAATGACTCAACAGATGCATCCGCTTCCACTTCAAACGACGCACATTTGCCACTCAGTAGATACACATCGACAGAAAGCGACATCTCAGGGAAAAAGCGAACAAGACCGAAGACTACGGCTTGCTGGATCACATATATGGGTAGTTGTCAAAATTATGGTCCCTAATTGGGTACCCTAAATATGAAGTGCTGCATTATAATAATAACCCAGTAATGGACCATAATTTTGACAATCACCCATACACTACTTGTAGGTCTACACAGTCCCTGAACCGCCCAGCCCGTGGCAAGACAACTTCGCCTGAATCACCCTGACTTAGGGCCCCAAAAAAGCACATAAGCAAAAATTAGGATAGGGATATCCCATATAAGCCCCTTATAATGAAGCCCAATAAGGTAGGGATATCCCCGTCAAATGCTTGTGCTTATGTGCTTTTTGGGTCCCTAATGAATAATGACCAACATTATGCCTTAGGGTTCCGTATTTTACTTAAAAACGTTACTATAACCCTAAGGGTCCATCTACTCATATAGTCATATAGTATATACATTGGCCTTAATGTAGCCCCTGTATAGGTACTTTGGGGCTCATGTATCTCTATATGGAGACATGGACCCTTAGGGTAATATACTGCAATGTACAATGCGAAAATACACTTTGTAATATACTATAGTACACTCAGACTGTAGCATACCGCAAAGGCCAAATCCGACTTTTGCCGGCCCCCAAATTCAAACTCTAATCTCGCCTAAAGCCCAACGACTGAATCTTAAGTTCGGGGTTCCCCAAAGGGCCAGCACTACAGGGCTTAGGGTTTTGGGGTTTAGGGGTTTATGGGGGTAGTGGCTGAGTAATAGGGGGGTTTAAGGTAGAGGCTTTGCGGTCTAGGGTTTACGGTTTAAAGTTTTAAGGGCTTAAACCAACTTAAGTTTAGGGTGCCGGGTGCATGTGTCAAGTTGGATTCAAGACATGTCGAAACACTCTAAACCCGAAGCCCGAAACCACAAAGCCTGTAGTGTTCCCTGTTGGGTGGCTTGGACGGTGGGCGCACGTTGCCTCCTTATCTGGCTGAGCACTTACATGACTGGAGGTTTTCTAGGGGCCATGACTTCAATCTCAAAGATGCAGGACCCTCAAGGAGGACTCAACAATCAGGCCTAGTAGAGTCAGCAGAGAGGCAGTTAGAATAGAGTCGTGGGGTACACTATTATTACCGGACAATAGGGAATATATATTGCTACTACTAACTATTCAGACCAGTATGTTGCACCCAAGCAGTCAAACCCGCCCGACACACCAGGTCCTAAATCCCAAATTCCCGGACTGTGGGTGTCAACCGTATAGCGCCCTTATACGACCCTTAACTTCCGCACCCGTATGGGAGTTTCCGAAAATAGGGGACCCTAATAAAGTACCCTACATAGTAGGATCCTTAGCATTAGGACTCAATATCAGATACCCCTTCCCTGATCGTGCCCCTGGTAGCAACCTTCATAGAGACTTAGGTCGTGGCTTTCGTGGACGTAGGCAGTGCTGAGGCACAGCAGACGTACCAGGGCCTGATCAGAAGCACATTACAACAGCAACCCGAGCATAAGGGTCTAAAAATGGGGCTAGAAGGGCTGTTGCGAGAGCTTGTACGGTTTTGGATGAGGGCCTGAATGATTCTACAGGGGACTGAGGTGGGCCTTCATGATCAGAAAAAGGGTTGACAATGGGTGTGTAGTGAATGCAGGGGGCTGAAAAGTTAGCATCGGATCTTGGGTTTGATAGGGTCTGACACAGGGGACCTTACTACTGTAGCATCTGGAATACGGTTTTTAGCCTTTTAGCTGTACCATCGTATGGTCCTGGTGCATGCGATCGTAGAATTAAAGGGACTGCGGTGGGCGAGTATTGCTGTTGATGAAGACCTGACCCCTAGACATTCAACGGAAGAGACCCCCCCCTATCTGAGAAAACAGATGCATCTAAAACTCCAAACACTCTGATGCTAGGGATTCGATCTGACAGTCTGGCATGGGTACCTAGGGTGGAACGAAGCTGTGAGACTTCACGCCTGAACCTGGAAGCCTCTGCGGCTTGCTTGCCCTAAGGCTCCGAGGACGCGTTTGGGCCCAAAGACCACACTAGATAAGGCTTTGGGCCATTTTGAAAAGGGTTGGGGTTCAGGGTTTAACCGGAAAACCGGCGCATTTTCATCTGTTTTGAACCTTAGCACCCGGCAACCCTTGGACCCTTAACCTTGCTTTTGCAGGAACCCAACCCCAAAATTGGCCTTCAAGGGTACATTATAGTGTACGATCACTGTCTTCTGCAATAACCGGGCCCACCAAAGCAGCAAAGTTCAAACTTTCAATGGCAGACCACATATCTAAGCCAAAAATCTTAAATTAAAGTTCTCCCATCCACTGGTTATGTGCAGAAAGTACCGTAGGATGCAACTATATAAGTATTACAGGAGACCTTCAAGAAGCCTTAAACCCTAAACCCTATACCTTCAACTCTATAAACCCTGAACCTTAAACCCTACAAACCCTATACCTTAAACCCTATAATTAAACCCTAAACCTTAAAACCCTGTAAGCCCTAAAACTTAAAAACCTATAAACCCTAAACCTTAAAACCCTATAAACCCTAAACCTTAAAAACCTATAAACCCTAAACCTTAAAAACCTATAAACCCTAAACCTTAAAACCCTATAAACCCTAAACCTTAAAACCCTATAAACCCTAAACCTTAAAACCCTAAACCCTAAACCTTAAAACCCAAAACCCTAAACCCCATACCTTCAAGAAGGACCAGCAAGGAGTGGCCTGGTGTTGCCCACTCGCGAACCGCGAGAGGGCTTTCGAGCCTCTCAGAAGCAAGAAGGCCTGGGCCAGGATTCTGCGGTTGTTTCGGGCTTTTGGATGTTAGGGGCTAGGGTTTAAGGACTGGCCAAACGGTTTGGGGATATCTTTAGCTGTTTAGAGTTAAGGGTTCAGCTTCTTGGGTTTTCTTAGTGGTTTCAGACGTTCTTGGGGGGTTGGCTTCAGGTTTAGAACTCATGGATGTAGCTCTTTGTACTAGGCATCTAGACACTTCAACTCGTTCCTCAGAATAATTACAATTATTACGATTATCAACATTATTAGTATAACCACTATTGACCTCGCCTTGGCATTCAGCTGCGCACTCAAGATGTCCAGGCGCAACCGGAACGTCACAAGTGATGCCATCATCACGAGAACCTTAAAGGTAGTCATATCACTAGGAATGCTCTTCATATTGCTTCCTAGGTTGATGTGAAGATCGTGGAAGAATGACCCGGAGTAAGGCCAAGCGTAGTCGCAATGTCCTTCACCATGTGCACCGTAGAAGCTCATCTTCTCCATCAGTCTCAGTCGAACTTGTCACATTCCATGCTACTTTCGCGGCTCTCCGTTCGCGAACATTCGTGTGTGCCCCCGCCATTCGTCCTGCCTCGATGACAGGATCTTTGAGAACGACATAGTTGGGAGGGAGCGGTGGCGCTGATCCTCTCGTCCCTTCTTGCTTGGGCATTAGGGTTTAGGAATTCGGGCTTCGAGTTTAATCGCTTTCCCCTAACATTAAACGCCCCCTCCTACTGTAAAAACTGCTTTCCGATTTAGTTTCAATATTAGGGGGGGTTCGGTGCATCCACGTATGAGTGGGGTTGACAGCCAGCCTAAGCCTTAAAGCCCTAAGCCCTAAACCTCGAGCCCCAACCCTAGAGCCCTGAGCCCTAAACTTTGAGCCCTAAAGCCCCAAGCCCTAAAGCTTTAGCTCTGAGCCCTAAACCCTTAAACCCTAAAGCTCTGGCGTCTTTAGTACAGCTGTAATCTTTGGCTCTATTAAAACTCATGCAATCCTAGCCCCCCCCTAGTGACTTTAGTTGACTTTCAATTGTGGGCCCGAAACCGCGAAATTCCGGGGGCCGGAAGTGCTTATATTAGGGGGGGAAGTGATTATACGTCTAGCCACAGTTGGATTCCGCTGGTCCTCCAAGAAAGGTTAGCTGCTTTTGGTCCAGTACTTGGGGGACCATGGGACTTAGCCTACCTATAGTAACCAGGCTTACAAATAAGGTTTTCTCGGCACCGCACCGTAAACCCTAAAACATGCCAGAGAACCTTTGTGCAGCTGCATTGAAGTCTTGACCCTAAACCCTAAACCCTAAACCCTAAACCTTAAACCCTAAACCCTAAACCCTAAACCCTAAACCCCAAACCCCTGCCCGAGATCAGATGGCTCATCACTTGAAGGGCCAGAGGCTTCAGGCTCGTTCTTTGTTTGCGTTGGGGTTTAGGGTTTTGGGTTCAGGGGCTCAGGTGTTGGAATCTAGCTCAGCCCCAGACCCGTCACCCTAACACCACGAAAACCTGGACCCTAAACTCCTAAACGGCAACATACCCCAAGCATTCTCAATGCAAAGGCCTGAACCTGAATCCCTGAGGCCCTAAGCCCTGAACCCTTGCTTTCCCGCTCTTACTCTTCGATAAAACTCTTACAGCACCGTTTCGGAACCCTTAACACCTCTCATCTGCTATGGAACCCCGAAAGCGTGGCAGCAGCGCATTGTATGCCGGCCCTGCTTCCATCGTCCTGTGGGCTCTCCACGCTTGGCTCAGGGGTTAGAGGCTGAGGGGTTCACGGCTTAAGTCTAGGGTGACGGGAACCCTTTTGACACTATCTTAACCTACCAAAACCTACAAAAAAGTAGGGTCCCTATAAATTCCATATTGGGGTTTATATTAGGAACCTACAAAAAAGTCGGTTAAAAGTAGGGTCCCTATAAATTCCATATTGGGTTTTATATTAGGAACCTACAAAAAATGAGTTATGGTAGCTCAAGGTATACCTTTCGATCACGATATGAGAATAGCGACGAAACCCGGCAATGTACCTGAAAGCCAGAGCGTAGGGGCCAGCATTCAAGAGGCTCAGGAACTCTGCAGACTAGGTCCGAGTACAGGTATATGTTCGAGGTTATGGCGAATGAACGCGTTATGACGAAATAGCCCGTTGATGCTCAAGCTGCTTCACTATGTAGTCATAAATCTCAACCTGATATAGACACCTTCATAACTGAAATAGGATTTGGGGGTATCTTGTACTATAGCTATAAGGCTATAATAAGGAACCCTAGGGAATACTTTTGAAATTGCTTGAAGCCTTGATCTTAATCCTGTCAAGCATGGCCGCCTGCAGGGACAACGTAAAACAAACACAGCATGAACAAAACTTCCCCAGGCAGATGGCCCAGATGGCCGTCAAGGTCAAGAGCTCCAAACTAAACCCCTAATATCCCTATAAATTTACTCCCTAAGCCCGAAACCCTTATGAGCCCCCTAAACCATTTGATCGGATCCGCTGGCGGTATTCTACCCCCTTTGGAGGCGTCGACTGGACCCACCTGCCCGGTCTGAAAGCATCCCGGCCGTCTGCTCCTGCTCGTCCACACTGGGACTCGGCATGGATAGTTGGGCTTTTGTCCATTCGGTGCCGACAACTCTTTGCATCTGTAGCCTCACCCCCCCCCCCCCCCCCCCCCGATACCTAAAAACGCTGATCGATTTCTCAGACCTCCACCCTACGCTCAAAATGAACCATACTCTCCCGCAGCTCCGGCTGCTGATGCTTCACTGATGATAGACCTTTGGTTTAGGCCTGTTGGGCCTGTCATGGTTTGGGGTTTTCGCGGTTTAGGATTAAAGGGCTTTAAAGGGAACTCCAGAAAGTTGGAATATGGTTTCAGGATAGGATACCCTATAATTTACCATAGAAGGGTTAGGATAATGATATTCCAACTTTCTGGCTTCTACTGTAGGGTTTAGGGTTTCGAGTTGAGCTGTGCCTGCGCGTCAAGAAGCCATGAAACTTAACCCCTTTCCCGTGAAGTCTGCACCCCTAAACTCTAAAGCCCTACCCCTCGACCGCCCTACCCTAAACCCTGATATCAAATCGCTACGCTAAACCCTACCTTAAGCCGGAATAACCTACCTTTTTCAGGACTTATATAAGGAAATCATAATACGGAACCCTAACAAAGTAGGTTACTCCGGCTTAAGGTAAACCCTGTAATCCCTCATCGTGAGCTTTGGAAGCAAGCCCGTGAGCCAACCTAGACCTCCCAGACCCTGTCACACCGCCAATACCAACTCTTCGTTAAGGTTCTTCAATCAAAGGGGAAAAGGAGGGACCCTTAATGGGGACCCCTACCCTATAATGGGCTATATAATGGGTATATAATAGCTATATTAAGGGTATATACCTAGGGGTCCTTATCAAGGGTCCCTCCTTTTACCCTTGGATTCAACAAGACATTGGCATAGAAGAACCTACCCACAATGTACTCTTCGGTCTGATAGGAGTTTTCTGCAGGGACGTCACAGAAGCGTGCAGTCCCCCGTCTTGGGTAGGCCAAAGAACCTAAGCCCCTAAGCTCCACGGAAGCCGAATCGCCGAACAAGAGCCCCTGGGTTCCAGTTTTGTGTTCTACCCTAAACTGAACCCTAAACCCTAAACCCTAAACCCTAAAACCCTAAAACCCTAAAACCCTAAACCCTATAAACCCTATAAACCCTAAACCCTAAAACGCTAAAACCCTAAACCCTAAACCCCTAAAGCCCCAAGTACCCCAAAACCCCAAAAGCCCTCCCAGCTGACTGTGTGCCCCAAAAAAGGCGAGGATTCCGGGCCTCAGCTGCATCAGCGCCTCCAGCCCTGAGGGGTTTCGGTGGCTGGTACTTAAAGGATCATGGGACTTAGTAACTAGGGTTCCTTTAGGGGTCCCTTTAAAGGGATCTATAGGGGTTCCTTAAAGGGATCTATGGGGTTTAGGGTTTGGGGTTTACTTAAAGGATCATGGGACTTAGTAACTAGAGTAATAATTAGGGTAGCTATATACTTATAACCCCAATTAGGGTACTTATAACCTTACTTACTGAGTCCCATGGTTTAGGGTCTTAGGTTTTACGGTTGTAGGGCTTTAGGGTTTTGGGGTTTAGGAGTTTAGGGTTCTAGGTTTTAGGGTTGTAGGGCTTTAGGAATTTAGTGCGGAGTTTTGGACCCAAAACATAACACGACAGCTTATGGACCATGTGTTTGCATGCTTCGATACCATCCCATGCCCCGGGCGCTCAACCCCACAGCCGTGGCCACCTGGAGCCCTATAACCCAAAAGCCCGAACTCAACGGCTCTGCAAGTCCCATCCCAGCAGCATGCCTAATGTAGGAACCTGATTAAGGAACCTTGGGACCTCTTTCTTTTATGAGGGTTCTTTATATGAGTCCTACTATTGTGGGGTTATAGGCCCAGGGTTTCTTAATCAGGCTCCTACAATAGTATACCAGAAATACTCGTAGGCAGCCGAATATTCGTGGGTCTGGGGTGTGAGGGACAGGGTCCGATTAAGAGCCTCAGTATCAAACTGCGTATAGGCTGTAATGGTGGCGGCGTCAGCTCGCAGGGTTCCTCTAAAAGAGATCTTTAGGGTTCCCTTAAAGGGATCTGCAAAGGTTCGAAAAGGGGGTCTACGGTTTAAGGTTTAGGGTTTTTTTAGCAGGGGAGCTCCGCAGTCCGTCGGATTGAAGTTAGAGGGCTCTTGCGGTTTGGAGTCGAAGGCTCTGGGGGCTTTACTTGATCCGTTTTTAGGGTTTAGGCTTGAACCTGAATCAAGATTACACTAACGAGCTAATTTATTCCTAAGGGCACTTAAAGAAAGAAGGGGATCTCTTAACCGGGTCTGCATTGCTGTCAGAATCAAGCCGCAGAGGAGGGCTATATACTTGCAAACATAGAGGTGGTTAACTCAGGTTAAACTATAAGAAGGGTCCTGAATTCCCTGGCGGTTCGCAGTGCAGGACCCAACAAAACCACAAATCCAAAGTCCATGCATACGAGTGCGCATGCATACTGCATGCATATGTCTGTAGGCGTGGATGTGCGCATGCAGCAAGTATGAATGCAACTATGCATGCATGCATGTATGCATGTTTGTATGCATGTGTCTGTGTATGTGCGTATGTGCGTATGTGCGTATGTGCGTATGCGGGTATGCGGGTGCGTGGGTGCGTGGGTGTGTGGGTGTGTGGGTGTGTGGGTGTGTGGGTGTGTGGGTGTGTGGGTGTGTGGGTGTGTGGGTGTGTGGGTGTGTGGGTGTGTGGGTGGTTGTGTGTGTGTGTGTGTGTGTGTGTGTGTGTGTGTGAGTGGTTGTTTGTGTGTGTGTGTGTGCGTGCGTATCTGTGTCTGTTAAAAGTTTAAACCGAAAATATGTATACTGTAGATACACAGACACAAGCACATGTCAATGTGTGTCATCTCAGCGCTCATCATGTCCTTAACAAGGTTCAGGGGCATGGTGTCGGTCAGGATGACTTGGCCTTTTTGGTCTTTGTAAAGCAAGTTAACCGTGAACTTAGACCCCGTCGGCTTCAACTTCTTGGTCGCCATGGTCTTCTGTTCCAAGTAATCGATGCTTGCCATGATCACTTTCATGTTCTTCTTGAGCTCGTTGATCTTGTTGGTGCGGTCTTTCTCCTCGACGTTGTCCAGTTCCGACTTTTCCTCGGCACTCAACAGGCCGCGAAGCGCGTCCAATTTAATCTTTTCAATTAGCTCTTTACATACACGCTTTGCGAAGCTGCAGAGGCCGAGCATTCAAGCATGGGTGGATGACTTCAAGCACACCCTAAATTTCCTAATCCCAAATGAGGCAGCCTAAAGCCTGCACCCGAACAACAAACACGTAATGACCATCTTCTTTGATCGCGACAATAGGCGCAGCACGCCGTCTGTCAGTGCGGACTTCGTCTCAGATGCCACGAGGGAAGCATGCGGCTGTATCATCTTCCAGGCGGTGGGCGTCACGTAGTTCAACATGCGCTTCACCGCAGATTGTTTCAAAGTTTCGATGTTGACCTCCTCTATGTGCTGTCCTTCACCAGCAGCCATCACGTCCCTAAACTCTGAATCTCAAGCCAGAGTTCCGACATGCTTCACCCTGAGCCCACGGGTTTGGAGCTAGGCGTTTAACGCTTTAGGCCCATAGACCCCATGTAGCGCCCTTATCATAGAAATCTTATTCGAACCTGCAAGAACCCAGTTCTGAACACCCTTTAAGCCCCAAACCCTGTCATCTTAGGAATAGCGCCATAAGCCCCAAAGCCTTAACTCCCAAACGTCCGAACTCCAAGCTCCGTGCCTGGTCGGAAGCGCTGAAACTGCGACTCCTGATGAAAGCGGCTGAGAAATATTGATCTGTAAACAGCTTAGTCCAGGCTCCGGGGGAGAAACCCCTAACAAGAGACTCCAAAAGGCATGCCGAGACTGGGGTTTACTTGGAGGATCATGGGACTTAGTAAGTAAGGTTATAAGTACCCTAAATTGGGGTATAAGTAATTATAAGTACAGTTGCCTTGGTTATAATCCCAGTTACTAAGTCCCATGATCCTTCAAGTATGGAGGAGCTGAATACAATCACACGAGAACTTCAACTACCCGGAACAGCTGGCTGAAGATCAGTTGGGCATTGGGGGTTCTGGATGCCGGCTATTGGGTACGGGTTTAGCCTTGTCAGGCTACGGAAGCTGAACTTGAGTTGTGCCTGCAGCTGCGGCAAAGAAAGGTGAAGCACTTGCAAGCAGCTCGCACCGAGTTGTAACCCATGCTGCAGACCAGGTGGGGCTTGCCAAAGCCCCAATAGGCATGTCCTCTTACACGGCTCAGGGTTTCGAGGTCATGGAAATGCCCAAATGCCCTCAAGCCAATCGAAGTCAAAAAAATCGTTTTACTCTGAACCCGGCTGCGTTTAGGGTTAGTATTTTGGCGCTAAGCCCTCAAACTCTAAAACCCACTATGACAATCTTCAATTCCCAGCAAGCTCCCCCTAGCTGCTGGCAGGGCACAGTCATGAAGAGCGAACCATGGAGGGACTTGTCACCTGCGGATGGTCCACGGTTTAAAAGAAGGTTGTTCTTTGTTCTTCTTAGTCTTATCAATAGCACTGTTTCTATTATTCTTATGTTATTATTTGTAGTGTTAGTCATTATTCTGTCTTTCACCTCGTTTAGCCGTCTGCATAGGAATTACGGTTAAGGGTTTCATACCACTTAGAGGCTCAAAGGACGAAGTACGCAGGTTATAAGTAGTAGGGTTTAGGGTTTAGGGTTGCGATGATAAGGCTTCCCTCCCACGCCCATTGCAAGACATTTGCAAAAACACATCACCCGATCGCTGAAGTAGGCATTACGCTCAGGCATACTTACGGGCCCTTGGGTACTTATTTCGGGCTTTAGGGGGCTGGTGTAGCTGCTCTTGTTTCATTGATGGATGGTGGAGCTTGGTATTGAATCTACTTGTAAGCTACCTGTGACGGAGATGCAGGTTTCAGTTTCGGGCTTCATTGCTGGGCTGGCCACATAATTATTGGGCGGTCTATCATGCGTTTGTGCCGGGAACAATGCATGATCCGGTGGCTTTGGAACCTTTTCGAATTTAGCAAGCCTCAGCTTTTGCAATGGGCGTCGTGCTTGGCATTCGGGGTGTTGGAACCCGTTTCGAAGGATGTTGACGGCAGGCTGACGTCTTGAAGAGTTTAGGGTTTAGTAGGGGTTTAGAGGCTTAGGGGTTTTAGGGCTTAGGGTTTAGGGCTTGAGAGGCTTAGGGGTTTCGGGATTTGGGAGTTTAGGGTGTTGAGGCCTTTCGAAGAAATTGGCCGTGGGCCTCAGGATTGGGTTTCGGAGCTTTCCCAAAGGGATCTGACCACTGTACTACCAACTGTACTACTACTACGGTGGATGACATAAATCCTGCAATACCTTTAGGACCCTAAACTATGGAAATTATGGTATATTCCTTATTTTGGGTCATGCAGGATTTATATCATCAACCGTACCATGCGACTGCTTGGACGGGGCAGGGCTTACAGGAGGGGGCACCATCAAAGATGGTCCAACATTAAGGCCTTGGTCCTTGTGACTTACACACGTTTTGGAGATCTCTGTAAACTACACCAGCCTAGAAAAAGGAACACCAAACAAGCAACCAAAAGCCTCTAATAGAACAGATTCTACTAAGCAGTTGCTGCTTTCGTCACCGATCACTGCATGCTGAATCCTCAACTCAAAACAACTCAACCCTGAATCCCAAACCTGAACCCTAGGCCCTATCCACCACAAGGCCCCTAGACGTCATGGATATCCTTGTCAACCCTGTACCCTAAGCACAAACTCTCATGCCCTAGATCCGGCCTAGCTTGCCCGACATCTGCGCGAAAATGCCTGGCTTCGACATAGGGGAGACATTCTTGCCCGGAGTTTGGGGGTATTTAAGGATTTCACAAGCCCTAAACCCCAAACACTTAACTCTGAACCCCAAACCCTAAGCCCCTAAACCCAAACCGATTTCGGCACTTTAAGGCCTGAGTTCTCTAGGTTGGGGTTGTATGAAGCAGGGTCTTTAGCATCGGTACCCTCGCCGTCCGTGTGTGTGTGTGTGTGTATATATATATATACACATGTACATACATATGCATAGTATACATACATACATACGTGCATGCATACATACACATATACATATACATATACATATACATATACGTATACATATACATATACATATACATATACATAGATATAGACATAGACATAGACATATACATAGACATAAACATAGACGTATACATATGTATATATACATACATATATATGTATAAATACATACATACATACATACATAATATACATCCATACATACATATGTACGTACATACAAACATCTAGGATGCCCAGTAACCTAGGAATAAACACCGCTCCCTATTTGGTATTGGATAGCTTTATAAGGAACCTAGGACTATAAAAAGGGAATAAGGGTACTACTGGGCATCCTAGACATACATACATACATACACACGTAATCCTGCGTACGTATACTCATTGTTGTTATGTACGTTGCATATACAGCGAGAAAGAGCTGACATGCACCTGCAGATCGATAAAGAGACCAACCAAATATGCAGACTCATTCCGAGCGTGCGCTGACAGAGGGCCCTGTGACCAACTCAGACAATCCGTCAATGACATGTTCATGATGGAAGGTCACACATGAAAACGGTAAGCCTGTCAAGACCCAAAGCCCCTCACGCAATAACCCCTGTAGTATCCTTGCAGAACCTCAAAAGAATCCTTCCAGAGCACCTTTGGAGGAACCCATTCAACCTCAAAAGCCTCCAAGCGCACTTCCGAGGCCCTTTCAAAGGCTCTTCCACCATAACCCTAAACCCTAATAATAATAATAATATAATAATAATAACAATAATAATAATAACAATAATAATAACAATAATAATAACTATACACCCCAAACCGTAAATCCTGAATCCAAAAACCGAATCTACAGTCTAAGCCATCTTAAACATGTCGAGTTTGCGGAAGCAAAAGATGGAGTAGCCCTCCTCTCCATGATTCTTCAACTTTTCCTTCACCTGGGAGGTTTCGGGCTCAGGGAGGTGCTTTCACTTCCGATTGAGATCAGAGGGTTGTCGCTTTGAATGCAAGGCCGCTGATGATAAAGCATGCCGTCTGAGGTTGTCGTGCGCGATAAACTTGAGCTTCTGTAGGACAAGAAACGTCAGCAGGCTGAGTTTGGAGCAAATCCCATCGTTTACGCTCGACTAGACCGGAACACGAGGCCCCAATGTTCTTACTTTGCGAAGTCTTCGGCAGCTCTATTTTCCGCACTTGCGACGCAATCCCTTGGCAAGAGTACCTGTTCTAGCCTTCCTCCTGGTGCGGGCAATCCGAAGGAGGAGTTCGACTTCATCATGTCCACGAGCAGAAGCTCTACATAGTGCGCGGTCAAGGTACTGCATCTTCGTGATGCCGGGCTCCGACAGGACCCTGACAACTTCCAAGTGGCCTCGGCCAGCTGCTTTCAGCAGAGCTGCCGCAGACCCCTCTGCCGTCACACCTGCATCCACCAGGATGCTTGCAATTGCGGCGTGGCCCCTCTTCGCGGCTTTGTATAGGGTCCTTTCACGTACTTTTCTGGTGACACCTGCCATGAGCAGAATGTGCGCAACCTCCGCGTTGCACTTCCGGGCTGCCTCACGAAGTGCTGCAGCACGAGAACTTGCAGTGGAGCGAGCTTGAAGCAGGAGCTGTGCAACTTCTGCAAAGCCCTTGCGACAAGACATCTTCAGTGCCAGCTCGTAGTAAAAGCCCCAACCAAGGTCCCAATTTAACCTTGCTTGGCGCTCCCGAGCGGCAGCCACAGGCAGCGCTTCCAGCAAAAGCGCAACGACCTTGGAGTGGCCCTTCTCAGAGGCTCCCACAAGAGCGAAACCATACTCGTCCCGAGTCATCGACAATCCCAATGGCAGGTTGGCATCCGCCTCCAGCAGAAGACGGACAACTTCCACATGGCCATTGCGAGAAGCATCTGTAAGACCGCCATAGGCTGCCCAATCTTCGGGATGATATGACATCAGCAGCCGAACAATTTCTCTGTGGCCTTGGCCACATGCCAAGCAAAAGGGATTGGAGTGGGTGTCCTCAAGCTCGTGGAAGCTTGTGATTCCAAAGCCTGTTTTCAGCACCATCCGAACAAGTTTTTCTTCGCCGCACACACACGCCTCACACAAGTCGTCTGCAAGACAGTGCTTCATGTTCGTCCCATCCCACCGCAACAATACAAGCTGTACATACATGGAAGACCCTAAAGGGGCATCGTCGTCCAAGACTCTGCCCTCGTGCAACAGTTGCAGCAGGCATGAAGGGTAATCGCAGATATCTCGCAGTAACAACTTCAGGCACCACACGTCGCCCAGCACTTCCACTGGAGCCGCTAGGAGTTCTTTGCCCGAAACGGTCCAGACACGAAGCATCTGCACTGGAAGTAAGGCATGACAACTTTAACCCGTGCTTTACCAGCCTCTGAACCCTACTTGTCGGGTATCATGGGGAACTAAAGGTTAACCTTTTTGGTTATATAGGGATTATATAGGGACTATACTACCCAAAAAGGTTAAAGGTTGCCTACTCGACTACTAGGGAACCAAGCCTCGCAACCTCAAACACAACGGCCCTGTTTGGGTTCTTGTTTTGGGGTCCTTTTTGCGCACTGCGGAGTTTTTGCAAACGGAAGGCCTCCACCCACTGAACCATAAACCCCGATCGCCTAGGTCCAAGTTAGACCATAATTACCAATTACTAAAACCCGGCACTTTCCTGAAACCATACACGCCAAACTCCAACTATCTACCATTACGCCCGAAAATCCTCGATCAAACCTAAAACCCCAGGGCCCTACGAGTGCTTTCGGCATGCGCCCATGCAAGCTAAGGCTTGAGCCCGGCATCTCCGAATCGATCAAGGGCCACAGATGAGAAGCACAACATTTTGTGTGTGTGTGTGTGTGTGTGTGTGTGTGTGTGTTTTTAAGGGCCCATTTCAATTTCATTTTATGTGCCCTTTTCAACTTTGCTTGTTTTATGGTTCCTTTTCCGTCTGCACTTACGTCCGAAACCCCGGTTCGAGGGAGCCTGATTTCCCAACCTCTGTAACTTCACCAAATCAATACACTCTGTTGAGGGTTTAGGGTTGAGAGGTATCCTTATTGACCCATTTTGGTCGAGTTCGATAGTTCACAAGATACTTGAAATTACCGGGTTTCTGTGCGGGGGTCTATGAGGAGTCGGGCTTACAAGCCACCTTGCAGCACATAGAACGCATTGCGATCGTGTTTCTACTTATTCGACCTCTGTATTCTATCTGAAATGTCTCCGGCAACCCTCAAAAACGGAGTACTTCCTTCACCATTAACTCAATCAGATGCAAATGGGTCTGCAAGATGACGAACTACGGATTGTTGCAAAGTAGAGTTAAACTCCACAAAAAATGCTCCCAAAACCCTAAACCCTATATATATATATATATATATATATATACAAATAATTATATATACATATATTCATATATAGATAGATCGATAGATAGATAGATAGAGGTCTAGGTATATACAAATGTATTTATACAAAAGCATATATATATATATATATATATATATACACACATACATACAGCCTAAACCAGTAGTCCTCAAACCACCAGACCCTGGGAAAAGGCTCTTGACCACCGCCCCCAGCGGGATGGCCTAAGTAGTGCCCTCCGTTAGGAACCCTAAGGGTTCTATCAGGGTTACCGTACTTAAACAAGCTTGCTGAGAATTAGAACAGGGTCTGAGGAGTAAACTACAGTAGAACTGTGATGAGGAGACTTAAAAAATGATAGTGGCCTACCAACTGTAAGGGCAGTCGGGATTCGGATGTTTTAGGGTTTCGTTTAGTGCCTAGTGTCTCGAATGTTCGAATAAGCCCGACAGCCCTGAGCGAAGTCCACACTCCATGCTTGCAAACACTGCACACTACTACCCCAAGGGTCCAAAGGATCCCATACTTAGGAATTTGGGCTTAGGATAGTAATCATGTTGGCTACTATTTTGGAGAGTACATGAGTATATGATCATTAGGTACTTGGACCCTTACACCTACAGACTATGCCTCAGGCTTTACGGCTTGGGGCACTTGGCCCAAACCCACACAGCCTTCAATCCAACAATGCCTAATGGCTTAATGAAATACACATGGGTGGTTGTCAAAATTACGGTCCCTTTTAAGATACCCTAGAAATTAGGTGCCGTAGAATCATGGACCCAAAAAGGGGACCCTCATATTGACAGCCACCCACACCTTTGACGCATGTCTTCGCCCTGAGCTCTGCGCCACGACCAGGTTCGAAGGAACGATCTCTGCCTAGCATGCAAGGCCGGAAGAATGGAGCAGTGTCGATTCTTTTGGGGATCGGCTTTTGGGTGTGCGGATTTGGAGCAGTGGGTTTTCAACATTCATCTTTGGATATTTCAAGAATAGACCACAGGACTGCGAGTTTTAGGATTTTGGGGAGTGCAGCTTTTGCCTTCAAGGACTAAAGGGTCAGTGGATACTCCTAGGCCAAAGCGTGCTGGTTGTCCAGGTGTGGGGCCTGTAGCGTGGATTTTAGGATAGAAACCCTGACTCATTCTGCAAGCTCCCATATTCCATGATTGTTCAACAACCATATAGGCTATGATATAGGCGCCTTTGCAAACTAGCATAGGGTTTTGGGGTATATTATACCATAACTATAGTAAGGAACCACCAAACTAGTATTGGTAATCATTGAGAGCCCTATCTTGCCCATAGTATTTGCTTTCCAACCCCAGGCTTTCAATAGAGGGCTGTGAGAAGTATGTGGACTGAGGGCATCGCTGAAGGCTTTTTTCCGGAAAGTCCCTCTCGCAAGTTCTCCCTAGGAGGTTCTCAACTTCAAGCAAAGAACCACGGAACCTTAGAGACCATGAAGCAGACTGCAGTCACAGAAAAGCCTACTTGTCGGGTATCATGGGGAACTAAAGGTTAGCCTTTTTGGTTATATAGGGATTATATAGGGACTATACCACCCCAAAAAGGTTAAAGGTTGCCTACTCGACTACTAGGAAAGACTATGAAGAGGAGTGCAGATTTCATTTTGTTGAATTGCATCTTCCCGTCTCTAGGACTCGATGATCCCCAGTGGATATTGAGTGACACTTTCATAATCAGAAGGAAACTTCAAAATGCGGGCAAAAGGAACTACTAGAAGAATGGACTCCGGTTTAGGGTTTAGGGTTTAGGGTTTAGGGCACGGGAGCTGCAGCCTCAAGACATGGCCTCCGTGTGCCTGCTCCGAACTGGCTCGGTTTTCGGGTGTAGGCCCAGGCGCCTAAGCCCGTGTGCACAGAACGCACCCGTAAACCCGAACTGTAGCATCCTGCCGCCATTCATTGACGGCCCCATGCTCTGCAAGCGAAGGCATGCCTCTCCCCTCAACCCATACCCCCTCCTCTAAACCCCTGCGCCCCTGACACTTAAACCCAAAACCTCTGAACGCCTGACCCCTAAACCCAACACCCTGAACCCCGAATCGAAAGCCGATTGGGGTTTCTCGCTGACCCTCCAAAGTGAAATTGCCCCCCGGGATCCGCATCCCGAATCGGAATAGGGCTGCTGTGAAGGGGTCGAGAACTGGGCCTATCAGGGCTGCTAATACCCTATAAACCCTAAACCGTGACAGGACCCTCAACAAGTGGGAGTTTCCCAAAATAGGGGACCCTAAAATAGTATCCCAAAAATTTTGATCCTTATTATAAGGACCCCAAAATAACGTACCCCTAATTTTCGGAAACTCCCGAATAGGTTGTAGCATTTTACGAACCTCAAAGAGATCCTACAGTGTCAGGTTTCGGCAGGATGCACAAACTATCAGCAGCAAGCTGAAAGCCTCAATCTGCATTTGCCTGTATGATGAACTTATGTATGTACGTCTATACATCTCTCTCTCTCTCTCTCTATATATATATGTATGTATGTGGATACAGAGGTCGAAAGATAGATGAAGAACTCAATACAGAAAGAAAGCAAGAACGAAAGGTAGAAATAGATAGACATATGGATAGAAATAAGCGGTATTATCGAACCCTATAGGCGTCCTACAAACCCTAAACCCAAACCGTCCAGTTCCCGCACAAGGCGGCCTGCAGGAACTGACTGAACTGGAAGTCCACGCTCAAGGAGTCCTTTGTCTCCGTTAAGGGTTTAGGGTTACCTGGACCCCAAAAGTATGTAGAATAATGGCCTTTTATAGGTTTTGGGCGATTATTTTGCCTACTTTTGGGGGGGTTAGGGTTAAGGGATTAGGAAAGGAACCAGGATCCTCCGCATGGGCTCCCTTCTCAAATCCTCGGAAACTCAACCCTAACCCTGGCAACCTTAAAACCTAAATACCCTTCACCCTCAAACGAGCAAAAGACAAAAAGGTTTCTAACGGTGCCCAGGAATCCATGATCAAAGTCTTGTACTTCGGAGGCAGCCGCTGGAAGGAAGGTACCTTTCACGCCGGGGAACGCCAAACCCTTCTTAGACAGAAACCAAACTATTGTATACGTTTATATAACTGCATACGTACATATGTGATTTTTCACCTGTACATAGAAGTCTTCAGGTACATCAACAAACATGCATATATATATATATACACACACATATACACATACACATACATGCATGAACATATATATATATATATATATGTATACATATGTATATACATGTGCATACGTATACACACACATAAACAAATAAATAAAAATAAATAAATAAATAAATATATATATATATATATATATACATACGTGTATGTGAATCTGAACAGTACATATTCATGATTCAACAGATCAAAGCAAGTATAACTATCGAAGCATGGACACAAATTCAGAAACTGGCAGAAACAGATATAGTGTTAAACCATGCATATGATAAACCAAATAGACACATCCAAGTTTCTGTGTGCACACATGTATGTATGTATGTATGTACATATAAGCACATAAATATAAATGTAAACACAAATAGAAATAACAAATGTATATTATGTACATATTATAATATATTCTACTATACTATATAGTATTATATTATATTGTAGTATATATTGTATATATATATATATATGCCATATATATATATGTATGTACAGAAGAGTGCTTGGGTCGTCAGTAGAAGGTGCGGACTTTAATTAGCTTTATAGGGTTTACGCATCAAGCGCGCTTCGTGCTGAGAACTGGTTGATGACAACAAAAGTATGCGGTGGAAATGCTGGGTACCGAGCTAGCAGACTGCACATCGCTTCAACGTTGCGCTCACAAGGACTTGAGGGCTCGTGATGAATCATCATTAAAATAGGGCTCTCGGGGTAATTTGCACTATCATACAGGAACCACAGGGGCCAAAAATATACGAAGCGGGCTTTT